GGAAGAAGGACAGTCACTAGGGTTTAAGGGTTTATCTTAACTGATACTGCTACAATCACATGTCCATTCATACAAACAACCACAATGTTCAGGGACGTTGGACGCGCTTTCCAGCAGGTGCTGCTCCCCACAAATAGATGGAGCCTCCCTAATAGAGCTAGTGGTGCCTGCTCGTACCAGCATCCCTAGCATCTGTTCGGGTTGTTTTCTAAAAAAAAAAAAAAAAAACCAAAAAGGATGCCTATCGGTGTTGAGACCCTCAATTTCATGATACTTCAAGAGGCTTAAACTCTTAACATGCCTGTCATAACAGAAGCTTGATAACAAATAATCTTCTTCTTTTTTTTTCTTTTTTTTTTCTTGACAAACATTCGACAGCAATAACTTCCATAATACTCACGATTTACCTGGGGCCGGTCACCTGTGGAGATATCTCAAGACGGCCGCCCTTTTTTTTTTTTAAAAAAGAAGGGGTCTCCCCATTAAGACACAGCTGCCCCTCGGTCAGGTGCTCCCCAAGACACCAGAGATCAAGGCAACACTTGCCAATGAACCCACAACCAGGATATCCTCTCCTTCCTGCCTCCCTTCCCCCTTTCCCCTCAGCCTTGCCACCAATGACTCCCCCACCCCCAACTGCCTTCTCCTTGCTCCCCTGTCCCTCCCTCTCCCGTCAGCCCCACCACCAGTGACTCTTCCACCCTTGACAGCTTCCCAAGAGCGCCCCCCGCCCCCCGCCTCCCCCATTCCCTTCCCGGTCCCATCGGCACCGCCATCCCCGACCGTTCTGTCCCCCCTTCATCTCTCATCAGCTACCCTACTCACCAGCAAGGCTAGCCGGTGGCACAGCAGGCCTCTGAAGTAGAGGAGCACGGAAGATCAGCAAGCAGTGTCACTCATAAGGCCCCCCTGGTTCATGGGTCAGGAGAGGCAACAGTGGCAACGATGGCGCTGGCTATCACTGCCAGAAGAAGCCCCTCAAACGACCCCGGCTCCTTTTCGCGGCAACCTCAGGCATCTGACGATTTGCAGAAAACCAGCCAAGGCGCAGTCTGATAGGCGGAAAACCCCTTGGGGCAGGGATGAGGGTAGGGAAGACGATCTTATAGCATCACTTGGAATGTATGGTTTGGTAGAAGTGAGGTTTGGCGTGGTTCGTAGGTTTTCACATTATATGCATATTAGCTTCTTCTCAACCGACGCTGGGTGATGGCTTCGGTATCCTCAAAAATATCATCAAATGTCCATTTAAACCTCATGTAATCTGATAAGGGACGATGTCTGTCCACACCAGCGTCAGATTCTTGTTGTAGAGAGAACAAAACCTTTCAACTTAGTAATTGCTGCTGGAGCAGCCTCGCAATAGGTCAGCAGTTATTCATGTTTTTTGAACTTTTTTCCTGAATTTTCCTGAATTCCTTCAATAGTTCTCAGATTGTTCTCAGCCGAAGCCGGGTAATGGCCCCGGTATCTCAAATGACTTGTATAATTCTATATGGGACGCTGGCCGCGGATCCCATCACGTGCTGCTCCCCACTAATGGACTGGAGCATTTGTCCCATTAAAAAAAGGAAAATTCAAAAAAAGAAAAAAGAGAACAAAACCCTTCAAATATATCCTTTGCTTATTCCATGAGCAACTGAGAGATTCTTGGAAGGATCATGGATGAGAAAAAGAGCTACATCATCAACAAGCCTAAAACCTGCAATCAACCATCCGTCCTTGACTCCTTGCCCAGAGAGTTCAAGAAGCAGAATTCATGGTGAGCACAGAGAACACAGGCCAGGGCAGGACCAGCAATGGTTCGGAGGGAGGAGCCTTGAACATCTAACGAAAAGAGATGAACTGCTAGACGTCCTCCCCCCACCCCCCCCCCCCCCCCACGAAAAAAAAGGACTGCATGTCAAGATCTGGCATCCCTGATGGCTGAGAACTACGATTTCGTCAAAACGGACATTTTTTATTTTTTGAACGAAATTGAAACTCAGATTTTTTGCCTTTTTTTTCATATTTTGTGTAATTTTGAGCTACGAAAAAGGGGGGTAAGGGGTAAGGGGTCAGGGGTCAGGGGTCAGGGGTAAGGCGTCAGGGGTAAGGGG